ATATATATATATATATGTATATATGAAAAATATATCAAAAATGCATGTGGGTACTCAAATGAAAGCTCTTGATGAGTGTAACATTGGGATGAGCTTATATCTTAAAAAACGTCAATAGTAAAAAAAGTACAGTGAAATTTAATAGTACTCATTATTTAATAAAACAAAATTTTGTATTTCAGGTACTTACAAGCGAACTGAAGATGAGACGATGATCAATATTGGTCTGGACATTAATGGAACAAAGCATTTGGACGGATACATTGGATACCAACGAAAGCCAAGCAACCACGGATTTACTTACTTACCAAAACTCGACGTAAGAGTCAACGATGAAAAAATAGTCGAGCTATCAGGTAAATTTAAAATAAATATTTAATCGATCGATAAACTTATATTCATACTTTTTTTACAGGGTCAGTAAAAAATAACCATAAAAACAACGTGACTCAGTGTGACATAGATCTGAATTTCCAGACTAAGAAAATAAAAAGCCGAGTACGCGGATACATTATGAAGAGAAACATAAGTTTGACCGGCAATGTAAGACTCGAGTATCAACTGAAGAATATGAATAAAGAAACTCTGCAAATAGAAATAGCAATAACAAACCGCTCGAGCAAAACATTAACCCACAAAGAAGCTAATATGAAGATACAGTCCAGCGCATATCCAGAATTGAATGCAATAATAGACACATGGTACCAGCAAGCTCTGGGTCACTTGGAGCTGCATATGGAGATAAACGGAAAGCCGCATTTGAAAGACGACCGTCATAAGCTGACGACTCAATTAGTTTTGACGTATTCTAAAGCGTACTTCCAGAGTCAAGAAGCTAAAATGAATGCATTTATTGCCATCAGCAAACCGATTCAGAATATTGACATTAAAATTGGGATCCAGCGGTTTTCTATTGGCCCGACTTCTAAAACGTACTTATTGATTAGATACGCTCCGGGAAAAGAAATAACTCTGGCAGTAAATTTAGTGATTCCTCGTGGGTCTATGTTCGCGATAGAAGGCCACGCGAATATGACAATCCCGAATTTAGATTCGCTTTTAATTGACGTCCGTATCACGGAAAAAGCTCGCGGAGAGTACGACCTCGATTTTGCGGGCACTTGGTTCAGCGGACACAATGCAACAATTCGCGGTACTTATGCTGATAGATCGGTAATAACTAGCGAACGCCGTATACTGAGCCACAATCTTAAATTAATCTTAAGATCACCGAGTTTGTCTCAAGACATTTTATTTAATTGTAAATATTACCGCGACCATGTCGATACTAAGTTAGATGTTGTGGTGGAATATTTAGACGCTGATAAATACGCAATAAAATATCAGAATTCAATTATATCTTTGACGCGATTCTTGACCTACGCCGAGGCGAGATTTAAGAATAATGTTTACGCTGTCACGGCAAACATAGACGTAGAAAGAGAAGTCAGACTGGAGTTACATCTTGACAATTGGAGAGATGTTCATCTGATCGCGACGGCTATAAATCAAGATACGAGCAAGGAATTTGGTTTTGAACTAAAGTGGGACGCCAACCGAGATCCAGCGATGAAATTTACTACTCTCCTTCAATTCAATAAATTTTATCAAGATCATCCGACACTGTCGCGCAATCTAACTGGTACAGCTATGATTTCTTACCCCGGAAGACTATTTACTGGCTCTTGTTTCCTTGGAGTTCTCCAGGGACACAATTACGTTCTGGATGCTTATATAGACTGGGACCCGACCAAGAGCATAAGAATTACCATCGACACGGACTACGACCCAAAAAATTGGAAGAATTACTTCAAATTTGACAGCCAAATGCTGACGCCTTTCGAACAATGGAAGAAGACTTCATTGAACGCGAGGTACCACTGGACCGGCCAGGAATTTAAAGCAGACTGCGGGATTAATTGGCAAGACAATCAGCGGTTCTTAATTCAAATTTACTCGAGCTCTCAGGAAACTAAAAATGTTATCGAGTGGAAAGCTGACTGCGGATTAACGAGTACTGTTCACTCAATTGGCTGGATAACGACTAACCTGACGCATAAAATAATTCATGACTCTAGCACCACCACTTTCGACTCTCATTTTCTGGTAAATTACAGCCCGGACAAAGTTATAGACTTGAGGAGTCTCTGGCATTTGAATGAAGCTCTGAATCCTGAAGACAATGTCACTCTCGCTGGAAACTTGAGGTTCGTTTCGCCATTTGATAATTACGAATCGGGAGATATCAAGTGCCAGATGAGAATGATGTCCAATTGGAAGTTTGACGGGTACTCGAGCATTGAAATAGACACAAGAAGGTACACCGGAGTCTTGCAGGGCGATCTGACGCGCATAAAAGAGTCTATGGTGCAATTCAACATCACAACCCCGCTGGAAAAGTACTCGTTTGTCCGAGGAAGGTTCGGTTTGTCGGAGCGCAATAAGCATGTTGTTGCTGAGCTTGTCTTGCCCTCGGGCCCGATTGGAGTCGAGGCGCTTTGTCAGCTGTTCACGGCGACCAGTTATGACTTTAATGTCATGCTTCGACTTTTTACTCCGATTGAAGCGCTGCAGAAATTTATGGTAATCACCAAACTTGTTAAAACAGAAGCTGACTTTAGGATTGGGTATAATAATATCACTGCGGGATTTACTGCCGTCTGGCACTACAACAATCTTACTGATTTCCACTACAGCTATGTTCTTTTTACTCCGATTCATGGACTCCATGAAAGCGGTGTTGTGGCTAAGTTAATTTTAAGCGATAAAAGTGATGAAGCTAATCGCTTCTCTGGAGCTCTTGATACTGAATTTACTATTAGGATCGTCGAAACTAAATTCGGGGTTCTAATAAACGCTGGACCTAAATTTTCTGCGCTTCAAATGCTTTCTGCGGAAGAAAGACTCATTGAGTTGAGCTTTGAGCCTGAAGATGATGACTTTAGTTGGCGAGGTGATGTCGAAGTAAGTTTGATATTTATTTTTACTATAAATACATAAAATTTTGCTTAATTAAACACTTAATTTTGTTAAATTGCACTGTGCTTTCTTGACTATTGACGTTTTTAAAGATATAAGCTCATCCCGATGTTACATTCATCAAGAGCTTTCATTTGAGTACCCACATGCATTTTTGATATATTTTTCATTATATATATATATAAATATTCAATATATATAAATATATGAAAAATTGATGTAGGTACTCAAATGAAAGGTCTCGATGAGTATAATGTCGGGACGAGCTTATATTTAAAAAAATGTCAATAGTTCAAAAGATACAAGGTAATTTCTTAATAACGTATTTATTTAAACTAATTTTAGATAAACGTTGCAATAGTTGAACCGATAATCGGTTCCCTGGATTTAGACAAGCAAGGACGGATGTATCAAGTCGCCGGAGTACTTCGTATTCCTCAGGGCGCGATTACTCTGAACGATAGATTCGTGATGGAGGACTTTTTCGATATGAAGAATACACTCGAAATAAAAACACCGTTCACCGGAGCATCAGAAGTAAATTCTCAGTACGTATTCAAAGTTGACATGGAAAATTCAGTCTACTTGCTGGATATGAATTTGCGGGTCAATAAAAATGACTCGACGACGTGGATTGAAACTGGCCTTCGGGGAAATTATTCATACATGGAGCACGACGAGGACGATTCTAAGATCCACAAGTTACATATAATATTCAATACTCCGACGATATTTATTGGGTATGTAGACGCTCAGGGGACACTTGAGTTCGACGAAAGTACTTATAAAACGAGTATTGCTGTTAAAACGAATGAGAGTAAAGCAGAATTCGCGGGATCTCTGGAGTTGGAGGAGGCCTTTTTCGAGGGCTCTCTGACCACCAGCATCGATTCGCCCTATTTTAGCATTCCCAAGGTGAAGATAGATCTTAAAAAGGACTTTTTCGAAGCAGAAAAACGTCTAGAGTGCAGCATTGAAATGGATAACGACAAAGAAAATCGTTGTCAATTACGCTTGCAGTGGAACATTAAATCCGAAGACAATGTTAAATTATTTGTCGGAGTTAAAACGTGGATAGTGCCTTTAGAAAATATTGAATTCGACGTAAACTATGACAATAATTTATCACGTGATAAAACTTTGGCCGTGCAGTCGAAATTAAAATATCTTGAAAGTGAGTATAAATTATCGGGCGCTTTGCGTTCTAACGGCACAATCGATATTGACTTCGAAGGACCTCAAGACTCTCGGGGTTTCGACTGTCGATTTGACGGTCTGCTTGACTCAGACAATAAACTTACCGGAAAATTGATAAATTTACGTACATCTAAAATTTATAACGTCGAGGGTTTATTCAAAGTCGCTAGAAAAGACCCGGAGACTTCTAAATTAGATGCCCGGATAACTCTAACTCCGGAAAACGAACAAGAACAAGAAGAACCTCATACCATAAATTTTGTCCTTACTCGCGAAAAGTACGGGATGGGTTTAAAAGTCGCAAGTGAGTCGACAAACGGCAGCGCATCACTCAGCTACATCAATCCGCTGAATTGGGACGTGAATCTCCAAGCAGATTCTTCAACCAAGGAATCAGAAGTTAAAAAATACCAATTAAATGCATTTACAAGCGTTCAAGTTAATGGAAACACCAGTGTTTATATCAATGTTCTGACCCCGTGGTCAGAATTGGAAAAGTTTGAGCTTGAGGGCAACCTTCTGCTTACAAATCACAGCGGGGAGATGAGGATAAAGCACGACCTCAATGAAAATAATGGACACCTGAATCTGGCCTGGAAACTTCTCTACATGAGCGACATGTTTTTGAAATTGAGCGGCGGAAGGAATGACAAGGACGTTGATGTTGATTTGTTCTTTGTAAATCCCCAACGCGCTTTCCGCAATATCAATGTGGGATTCGACATCGCGGTTGAGAAAGAATTGTGGAGATGCGCTGCGAATACCAGCGTGGGGTACAGGGATAATGAAAACATCGACGTGGTTATCGCGGTTCGACTTCCACCGCCCAATAATGATGATCATCGGGTTTTAGTTAGTTATCACGCGAAGGGAGGCATTCAAGACGCGACTTACGTCGTGGGATACAATGCTGCTAAAGCGAAAATTAATTACGTTTCAGACGGCTCAGTAAGTGAAAATTTTTTAATCAACTTTGGTCATTTATCTTGATTACATTAATGCGCTTTTTTTGGTTCAGATTCGCATGGCGGAAAAAAATCTTGACGCCCACGTTCGATTTGCTTGGGATGATTTACCGAGCAGTGCTATTAATAATCTTTTGAATGTTACTTTCGATCAAAAGCGGATCGGGCTGAAGTACTCTCTGTACACCCCTCAGGCTAGGAATGGAGAAACTGCTATTATTTTATTCAACTACGACGGGCAGAAAGTCGAGGAAAGTATTATAGACACTGAAATTTATTATCCAGCTCGGCGACGCATGGGTACTGCACACATTTCTTACTCTAGTTTATCGAATATCAATGGTACTTTAAATGTAACGACACCGATGCCCCGTTTCTCTTATGCAGCTTGCAATTTTATTGTACTTACAACGTTGTGAGTTATTTTTTTTTATTTTTAAAAAATAATTTTTTTTTATTTAAAAACATTTTTTAAATTTATTTTTTGTTTAAAAAAGTTATTTTTAAAATGTTTTATTAAAAAAATTACTTAAAAAATTAATTCGTTATTTAAATAATTGATTTTTGGAGTTATTTCTTATTTTAAAAAATTATTATTAAGATTTTTATTAAAAAAATTATTTTTTTAATTTTTTTTTTCAATAAAATTTGTTTTTTAGAGTTATTTTTTCTTTAAAAAAATTATTATTACAGTATTTAATTAAAAAAAAATAATCTTAAAAATTTTTTATTAAAAAAAATGACCAATACACTTTGTTTTATTTTTTAGAAAACAAACCAAAAGATTCGTCCAAGTATTTTGGGAAAATGAAAGCGCTTTGTTCAACTCCGACTATTCTTACCACAGCGAAAAATTAGATTCAAACCTAGAAGGAATAGTCCAACTAGAAGTGCCCCTAAGTACCCGTCATATCGCGGAGCTGAATTACGGTTACAAAAAACGTCCGCAAGTGACAACAGGTCACGCGGACTTAATCTACAACAAAGAAAAAATAGTTATAGCACGTTACAATTCCAAAGGAGAGTCACGTGCAGGCTTTGAGAAAGACAGCATCCAAATAACTCTTGAGAATTCTTATCAACCGCTGGGTATTACGTACGTCAATCAATACACGTACAGCGCAGGTAACGCCGGAACAAATTACCCGACGGTAGAATGGAGACGTGTCAATGTCTACCGCCTCGACAATAGCACAGCTTTCAATATCGCGGGAGAATCTCAAGTTAAAACATTCCACGAGGGCCAGGAAATGCAATTCAAAGCCGAACATTTAAATCGTACTGTCACTCTTTTGACAGACTACCGCGTACTACCGGGCGAATTCGATCATAACTGTCGCATAGAACTAGCTGAAGATGCCTGGGCAGCCTATAAATTAAATATCATCAACAAGACAACTGAAGAAGTCGACAATCAATTTATAGTTGTAAACATTTCTTATCCCTGGAGGAATATCAGCTTGGACGGATTTTACTGGATAGCAGCCGGAGAATTAAACTCCGAAGCAAAGCTTCATTGGAACAAAACTAGCAATTACGCCTCTGCGGAGGAGGAGTCTAGTTACATGTATGACGAGGAAGAAATACTTCAGAGTAGCTTAAGAGAGCGCACAATTGGAGTTGCATTCTTGTGGAAAAATGTCACCGACAGCGACGATCACGGAGATAGGCAGATGGCTGTTTTTAGTTTGAAGCATCCTGGGTTCAGTAAAGACGCAACAGTAACAGGCTATTTAAACAGAAGAGATAAGACAACTGTGCTAAACGCCAGCCTCGTTGTAGATTACTCCGATAATCCTGACAAACTCGTGAAGCTCTTCACTGTTATCAATAACGAGACACGTGAGACCGATGAATTTCGGTGGAGTTACGTAATCAGCGGGAAGCATCCGCAAACAAGGCTAGATCTTGATATTCAAGGCTACATCCATAAAAATTCAAGCTACTTTGTGCAAACGGACCACAATGCTAAATTCCGACGCAGTTATCTTCCAGAGGAGACAGGCAAGCTCTATTCAAGATTCGATCCCGATAATTACCAAGTGGAGTATCATAGACAGAGCACCGACCTTACTAAGCACCTAGATCTGGCTTACTACCCACTGGACACCGAGTATGTCATAAACGGCAGCATTATTGACTCTCCGAAAGATCTAAACGCCTCCGGAGCACTTTACTTGAATGTCCCAGAAAAACTGACCTGGCTGATGGTCAATTACACGCCTGACTCAACCAAAAGCCTCCGAATGTACGGAAACATTCCAGACGCCCGCAATGGAGTTTTCAATATTTGGAGAACGTATGAGCGAGATCTAGTGATTTCGGATGTTGCTTTTTATTTATGTTTGAACCATTCAAGGCTGGTCACTTCGACTCTTAAATGGCGGCCTGAGTTGAGGAGCGACTTGACTAATTTTGTAAAAACTACTTTTTCTGATTTTTACAATGATGTTAATAAAGACTTAGATTACTGGAAGCACTACGTAAGGAGTGAGATTGTCAGCACCACTTCAGACATTTGGGAAAATGCTCAAGAAGATTTGCAGATGTTGGTTGAAGATTGGAATAATTTAAAAGAGCTTGATGAGGACTTAAATAGACTCAAGGTTTATTTAAATGACTCTTACAATAATAATGACTTTTATATGAAGGATTTGATGGCTGTAGGTGCGTATGTTATTGATGAACTAGCTCTGAGGAGCCATATTGATTCGCTTCCGAATATTTTGAATGAAATTTGGGAAATCATGGGCGAGTCCGGTCGCGCTATCCGCAATTCCCTCATCTGGGTGATTGAAGCGGTCAAAAATGGGTACAAAAAATTAACAGAGATTGTAAGTGCGATTCTCAAAGGAGAATCTATTACACAAATTGCTAATATCATTGAAAAAATTGTGGAAAAGTATGACAAGTTTATCAAAGACTTGCACGTGTCGTTTATCAAGTACATGGAGAATTTGTGGAACAAGATGTCTTTTGCGATAACTCAGCAGTGGGATAAAGTTCTGAAGATGATAGAGCCGATGTTTTTGAGGATTCTGCATTACATTGAAGACGTTTTGTGGAAAGCTAGCAAAGAAGTCGTGGACTTTTTGTACGACCGTAGGAATGAGTTGATAAAATCACCTTATTTTGATAGATTCACTAACTTCACTCAGGACGTCGACAAACTGTACCGTGACATAAAAGCCAATGATATCATAACAAACATACGCAAGTACTCGGCGATTGTAATAAACTTTATACGTGAGCGGTACTTTACTATGGTACCTTTTGGGAATGAGCTCAAAGATCTGGTCGAAGAAATAGCAGCTGAAATAGCGGAGCTCAGAAAGCTTCCGAGTATAAACTTTGCGTTAGAAAAAATTCATTATATCTACAACAGAGTGAGCTACTTTTATCAGTACTTTGGAGTCCAGAGTAAAATCGAAAACGCAATCAAGATAATTCATTCTAAATTGATGGACATAAGTCAAACTGCCCTTCAAGCTGAAAGTAAATATCGCGAAGCTAAGACTAAGTTTATTTTTGATCCAAATGATGGCTTGATGTGTTTGGAGCAAAAGTTGCCGATGTCTTGGCACGCGTTCAATCAAACTCCGGAGTTTCAGGAGATTCCTGAGTATCGCGCGTTGGTGGACATTCAGAATTACTTCACTGCTTCTAATACGACTTTCTGGACGTTTTATTATAGGTACAAGCCTTACACTGATCCTTACAATTGGCTGCCGCCGTTCAAAGCTCAGGCGATGATTGTTGGCCGTCAGCATTTTGTCACTTTTGATGGAAGACATTACGATTTTGCTGGGACAGAAACTTATCTGCTGGCTCATGATTTTATTGACCACCTATTTGCAGTTTTTATTTGTTATTCGCCGAATGAAAGTAACTCTTCAATTATTGATCACAAAATTATAGCGACAATTGGAGAGCAGAGCCTGCTGGTGGATCTTTTTAATGACAGCATTAAATTTGCCGACTCAAATGCGGTTTTGAGATTGCCGGTTGAGCTGAAGAATTCCACTGGGTTCGTTTATCAAGAAGAAAGCATTGTAACTATTGAACTGAAGAACAATCAGTTTAAACTCAAGTGTAACTTCAAGTATGACGTCTGTGTGATCCAATTGTCAGGTTGGTTCTTTGGTAAGACTGCTGGGTTGCTTGGAACGATGAACAATGAGCGCTGGGATGATACCATAGGATCTGATGGTAGAGTTACTGAAGATATTGCCAGCTTCGCTGGTAGTTGGTCAATTTCTCGGGCTGGATTAGTAGTTGGATCTTCTAACCTGGCTCACGTCGGCTACGACAAATCAGAGTCTTTTGATCTTTGTTTAAATTTGTTCGGGAACCAAAGTTCCGAGTTTAGCGACTGCTTTATGGTTGTTGAGCCGCAATATTATACCGAAGCCTGTTTGAATACCAGATCAATGTCCGAAGTATGTACACTGGCTATTTCATATATGCAAATTTGTGGCTTCTACGATACGTATCTGAGAATACCGGACAAATGTACTACTTGCACAATGACCAACGGCTCCAGCGTACTGGAAGGAGAGTTCCGTAAACTGGAAAATTCAAATGTTCCCAATTCTACGGACGTTGTGTTCATTGTCGAGGCTAAATTATGCAATGAAAATATCAGGGAAAACCGGAGTATTGATCTTCTTGTTACGCAACTTGATAAAGAATTCACGGATAATAATTTTAAAGATAATAGATGGTCGTTGGTGGTGTTCGGTGGTGATGGGGTTTATGATACTCCGAGGAGTCACACGCTGGATAGTAGGATATTTTCTGATAATGTTAATAGATTTGTTAATTACTTTGATAATATAAAAATCGGGGACGGCAATCAGGATGTCTTTTCAGCGATCGGGTTCGCTTCTCAATTAGTATTTAGAGCTGGAGTTTCTAAAACTTTTATATTGATGCCGTGCTCTCACTGCGAGTCGCTAAATCAAACGGTAATTATTTAAAAAAATTTTTTTTGCTTTATTAAATAATGATTTTTATTAAATTGCACTGTACTTTCTTAACTATTAACGTTTTTAAAGATATAAGCTTATCCCGATGTTACACTCATCGAGACCTTTCATTCGAGTACCGATATCCATTTTTGATATATTTTTCATATATATAATATATATAAATATATGAAAAATTGATGTGGGTACTCAAATGAAAGGTCTTGATGAGTGTAGTAATATCGGGATGAGCTTATAACTTTGAAAATGTCAATAGTTGACAAGATATAAGGTCTTAATAATATAAATAAAATTTTTTTTTTTCAGCTTGATTATTCAGTACTGCACCAAGTGTTGCTGGAACACGACATTACGCTTCACATTCTCATGGACGGGGACTTTAATTTCAAAAAGCAACGATTGAATAAAATATTTTACGGACTAGACGCTACAAAATCTTACACTAAAAAAGATGCCAAGGTTTTGGTGGGAGATGTGGATTTAAGGAGACAAGTTAAATTGCCAAAAAGCGCTCTAGGATACTGCACACCTTTGTCACTGGAGACAAATGGCACAATTTTCAGCGGAAATAAACTTCAGCTGGATAAGCCGTCATCAATTAAAAAATTCGCGAATGTATTCGCGAAAAGAGTCGCCTTGACAGCGCAATCTAGTCCTTGTCAGCACTGCGAGTGCACGGCTGATAATGACGGAGTTACTCGGATGGAATGCATGCCTTGTGCCTATCCTATGCCTGCTGCGGTCGATTACGTCAGTGTAAGTTTATCATCAATTATTTTTTATCTTTGTTTTAATATTAGTATTAATAATAATAATAATAATAATAATAATTATAATTGTATAATAATATTACCACTGTGTTTTTTTAGGAAACATTCAACGAAGACGATACATACTCGCTGCTTCAACCACTGGAAGCAGATTACGCTCAACTGGATGGTGAGGATGATTAAAATAACTTGTAGAACTAAAGAGAATGTTAATTAAAAATAATATCACGTTAAATCGTGGACTTAGTATATATAATATATAATATAATATTTGTATATTTATAATTAATTTTCAATTTGTATGTTTGAATAATAATGATAATATTAAAAAATGAGGTTTTTAACATCTATAGATATTATTCAATGTATATATATAAAATCTATTCTAAGTGTTGTTTGTATATTAATAATACAATAACGACAATATCATTTATTGATTTACATATATAGTATATAATCACAGTAATTATAAAATATTTTATAATTACATGGATTATACATAAAAATATAACACATTTGGACTGATATATCAAATTCATTATCCAATTTTACGCATAATATAAAAAACGGCGATAGATGATATAGTAATAATGATAATAATAATAATTAATAAAAACTCTGCTCTCTTTAAAAAATTATTATGACGGCACGAAATTAATAACGATTGGCTAGTTGACTATCCGAATCGGAAAAAACACAAATATATGATATTTACGGTGATGATATTTTATTTTCGATATTTACTTGGCCAATACGACTGCTTTGTCGCTCAGATCAACTGAGCACGTATTGAGAGTTGGTCACCTGGCATCGTGGGCCTGAAGATGGTTCGGTGCGTCGGCAAAAGTGAACTTTAATTTATAAGCTTCTGCTACGAGAACGCCTATCTCGGAATCGGTCCAGTTTTGGGTCGGTAAATTTTGTAACATCAACATTAATCCCTACAAAAATTAATCATTATTTATTATTTTTTAAAAAAAAAATTAAGGAAGATTAAAAATTTCTTGAATGAAGTCAAAGTTTCTTGAGCCAAGAAGTTTGTTTTTTCTGTGTTCTTTTTGGTGTTTTGTAAATTATAATAACTGCTCACTTGAAAATCGGGTTGCGCGAGAAGATGACGTCTCCATCTGAGGAGAAAAGCTGCACAAACGTACAATTGAAAGGATGCAAAGCGATCTGACTCGGCGAGATATGTGTCCCAAAGTCGTATCGTACAGTGAAGAGGTATTTCTCTGGTCAATAAATTATTCATCCATCTAAACGAAAATTGAAGATAATCAACGCCATGTTGGTGTAAATGTTGATGAAGTGGCGCTGTATAAAATATACACCAATAATTATTAATAGAATTTTTTAATAAAAAAAAACTTTAATAAATTACCGTCGATTCTCTGTATTAGTTCTTTAAGTTGGTTAACTTTGTGTTGAATACCTAATTGAGCAAAGATATAATTATCTTGAATACCATCTAGAAACTTGGATAGGCACCAAAAGCTGTCAGCTTCAATAATATCTCTTTGTTTTTGGTCCAGCGAGGCTACATCGTAATTCTCAAGGTCTTGCCAAGCGGAAACCGGCAGGGCTTCTTGCAGAAAAACCAGGAAGAATGGTGTTACCAGGTCATTCATGCCCTTAAGTAATTTTTAAATAAATTTAACAGTCTAAATAAAAATATATTGTAAGAAAACTTTAGTAATCGACGTAGAAGTATACCTGGACATAACCAGACGCGGGGTGTCGTATTGCCCATATGTATAGTATCCTCTCGAAAATCAGTTGCACGGTCTTCTGTTGGAACAACGAAATTAGAGGAGACATTCGGGGGATATCAATGTGAATTTGTCGATATGTATCTTGAAAAGCTTCATCTCTTTCAACGTCATAGTACTGCTTTACGAGACTCAAGTAATCCAAGCGTTTACGCTCCAGTACTTGTTGACGTCTCTCCAAATTAGCCGGCAGATATTCCTGAAAATAAAATAATTTATTTTACATTGAATAATTTAAATCAAGATTTAATAGCTAATAAATTTACCGATAAAAGTCTCCAAATAATAGACCGTAACTTGGCTGGTACTCCAGACCAGGACAATTGCCGTAACTCGTCTAAATTAAGAAGCGAAGCGTCCAAGAGACTTTGAAATTTATCCACTTTACTTTCACCGTCTTGCTCCTTAAATGGTACAAAATATCTAGAAGGCGTCGAGGACGGTCTGAAAGCTTGAGGTCTACCTGGGTAATGTGAGTTACCTCGATAAGGCGAGCATACCACTTTTTCTTTAACCTGAGTGTCTGCTTCTGTTTGTAAATTGTTGCATTTACTGCGACTGTTTGGGCATACGACAGTCGTGTTGGTGCGGTCATTACGAAGATGGAGCGGTTGGACAGCTAGTCGCTGCAACGCCTCCATTCTTTTTTCTTCTGGTATTATTTCCTGAGTTTTCCCAACTTGGTTGTCACTCCGACCCTCGCCGCTGCGGTGGCTGTTAATTACGCTCATCGCAGCGGACTGACTCACGCGTTTGGATATTTTTACATCGGAAACCATGCAAAACTCGTCATCTCCCGAGTCCCAGGCGTCGTCGACACTCTCCTGGAAGTCTCGGAACGAAGCTGCACTGCTGCCAGCACCAATCGCTCCTCCATTGCCACCTGGCAAGTTACTCGCACTGGACATTTTTAATTGGCGATTGTCTTGCTTCAAACTCGGCCTGAAATTTTTAATTGAAAAATTTATTAAAGTTCTAAATAATTAATTGATTTATTCACTTTTTTTATTTAGTTTTAATGACATTAAAATTACCAGTCACTTGACAATTTTTTAATTTTAATTAACAAAAAAACTTACTCCAAAAAAAAATTCATTTGTAAAAAACTTGAAAAAGTTTTAAGTGCAATTTTTTAAAAATATTTTTTTTTTCTAATTTAATTATTGAAAAAAAAATCAAAAAACTAAAAATGTCGGCTAACTTTATTATAATTTTTTTTTGCTATAATTTATTTGTTAAAAAAATTATTAAATATCTGCTAAATAAAATTTCATTTAATTTTAAAATTTAAAATACATACCTTCCTGGAACAGCTCGCGCATTTTTTTTCCAAAATGATTGTTGATTATTTACTTGATTCCGGTAGCCACGATTTTCCATATTGCGAAAAATTCCTACACGTTCATTTTAAACATTTCGTAATATTTGTAGATCAACTCACAATAACTCCTCATAACGTTTGTTATGACTGTCATAAAAAAAATATAAAATCAATTACTATCATTACTCTATTATAAAACAAAAAAAAAAAAAAAAAAATATATATATAGTGACATTATATATAAAAATATAGGTTATGTTAGTGATACAAAAATATACTCAACTGTTAAATAAATCAAAATATTATCATTGCACTTGATAATTTTCCGATGAATTTTATTAAAATTCACTGTTGTTAAATATTTTCTTACAAGGACACTGTAATTACTTGATAACAGCGAATTAGACAACATGGCACGTCATCGTACGAAAAGTATAAAAAATTAAATAAGTAGCAATCGTATTACCACTCACTCAAGAAGACATATCGGTACTTTGTTATTAAGTATTTACCTAAGTACTCTTATAAATAAATTACAAACAAATATAGTTGGATAAAAAAAAAATTCTTAAGTAGCTATTATATGTATAGTTATTGTATCGGATGTGTGGCAATTTTAACAGCCCGCAATTTGTAGCGGCAGGTGCTGCCACCACCGATGAATCTTGAACATGTTATTGTCATCACACCATTGTCTTTATGATTATTGTTATTCTTATTTTTGTTTTATTGTAAGCATGATATAAATGTCAATCATTATTCATAAGGCCATTAAAATAATTTAAAATTATTTTTTTGATAAATATACTTACTCATAATTAACAATAATATTTTTTATGCAATTTAATATGACGGTAAGATGGATTTCAATAATTTTTTTTTTTTTAAATAAATTTTATTTATATCAGAAGAAAATTAAGAAATTGCATGCTTTCAACTTAATTAAATTTTTGAAAAGTTATTAAACATTTTTATCAACAAAATAAAAGTTTCCTTGTATTACAATAATTAATTTTATCGATAATTCTAGCAATTATGTTTATCAAAGAAAATTCAGGTATCGCAAAGAGTTTTACTCAGATAAAGTCAACATTAAATATTTATTTGTAAAAATTTACAAAGATTCATACAGCAAAATGCTTAATAAAAATATGAAAATTTTCTAAATCATTGAATAATTTTTTTAAACATCAAATAAAAAAAATTTAACAACAGTTGATCATAAAATTTCAAATATTACAATGGTGATGAATACGAAATAAAGGATCCCAGCGATACTAGATGAATGAAGAAAAAATTTTAAGTGGAATTGAAATCCAAACATCGGGTTAATTAAAAAAGGATAGCAGTCTCCCAAAGATTGATGTTATAAATAATGGAATAAATGATAGACGTCCTCCTTTTTTTAAGTTTTCTTCCAATTCCTCTACCTGATCCTGTACGTTCTCCAACATATTGTCTTCTTCTTCTACTGCTTCTTGATACTCTTGTTGTTGTTGTTGGTTTTCTTGAAGTTGTTGGTCTCCTTGTTGTTGTTGGTCTCCTTGTTGTTGTTGCTCTTGTTGTCGTTGTTGTTCTTGTTGTTGTTCCTCTTGCTGTTGTTCCTCTTGTTGTTGTTCCTCTTGTTGTTGTTGTAGTTCTTCTTCTTGCTGTTGTTGCTCTTGTTGTTGTTTCTCTTTTTCCTCTTGTTGTTGTTCTTCTTCTTGCTGTTGTTGCTCTTGTTCTTGTTCCTCTTGTTGTTGTTGTTGTTGTTGTTCTTCTTCTTCTTCTCGTTGTCGTTCTTGTTCCTCTTGTTCTTGACGTTCTTGTTCCTCTTGTTCTTGGCGTTCTTGTTCCTCTTGTTCTTGGCGTTCTTGTTCCTCTTGTTGTTGTCGTTCTTGTTCTTCTTGTTTTTGTCGTTCTTGTTCCTCTTGTTGTTGTTGTTCCTCATCTTCATCCGAATCTTCTTCTTCTTCATTATTATCATCATTATTATTATTATCATCATCATCATCATCATTATCATCACCATCAATATCATCATCATCATTATTATCATCATTTTCATCATCATCATCATCATCATTACCATAATTTTCATCATCATTATTACCATAATTTTCATCATCATCATTATTATCATCATCATCATTATTACCATAATTTTCATCATCATCATCATCATCATCATTTTCATCATCATCATCATCATTACCATAATTTTCATCATCATTATTACCATAATTTTCATCATCATCATTATTATCATCATTCTCATCATCATCATCATTATTACCATAATTTTCATCATCATCATCATCATCATTATTATCATCATCACCATCATCTCCTTCTCCTTCTTCGTCTAATTCTCCTTGCAATTCTTCATCTAATCCTTCTTCAGATCCGTCTCCTTCTTCTGATCCAGCTCCTCCTCTTTCTTGTTGTTCGTCATAACCATTATCTTCTTCTCCTTCTTCTCCTAATATTCCTAATATTCCTTGCCATACTTCATCTAATCCTCCTTCAGATCCTTCTTCTTCTCTTGATCCAGCTCCTTCTTCTGATCCAGCTCCTCCTCTTTCTTGTTGTTCTTCATAACCATCATCTTCTTCTCCTTCTTCTCTTAATATTCCGAATATTCCTTGCAATACTTCACCTAATCCTTCTTCAGATCCTTCTCCTTCTCTCGATCCAGCTCCCTCTCTTGATCCAGCTCCTCTTTCTCCTTGTTCTTCATCTCCAGCATCACGTCTTATAGCTAAAATAACAAAATCTTACTTTATAACTAAATTTCAAATAATAATTATATTTATTTTACTTTTAAGGAAAACATTCAGCACTAAATTCATAGACAATTAAATCAACCAACATCCTTCTTAAACTCAAAAATATGAAAATGTACTTACGGCCTGCATTGATAATACTTATTACTGTAATTATCAAAAAAAACGTTAAAATTAATTTATGAAAAGTCATTTTTTATTATAATTTTCTTAGACAAAAACTGTCTCGTCACTGATGAATAAATAAGTAACTATTGAAGAAAATTGCGATGGTTATTCACAATTATAGGTATTAATGAACAATTATTTGTTAACTTGTATGCGTTAAACATTAGACATTTGTTGCTATCTATCTAATATATTTCTTTTGATAAGCGTAACAATTATATTTATCAACTAATTCATTGTCATTGCGACAATTAGACTTCAATATTTTTCCTCTTTACTTTAAAATTTATAAATTATGTAAAATACAGAAAGAAAAATAAAAAAAAAAAGTTTTTTTTCTTACTTATTTAAACCACTAGTTTTAATGAGTATTATAAATAATCTTTTTATTGTTTTTCTAGCATTTAGTATTAAATGATGCATAATTTTTCATGCTTTTTTGTAAGTCGTACTAATACGCGCTTTTTTGTAGCGACTGCTCTCTGGCGGAGGTTGTTTGAACAGAAAGCTAAAGTGTGTTGTGTGTTTATATTCTCATGGGATTATCATTAAAAAACTATATATAAATATTATATAGCAATGTTTATATCTGTATGATATTTTTTGTGATACTCATTATAAAAACTCTCATAAATCATTATACTTTGGTAGTTTTTTATTAATTTTTTATCAATGAACGATAAACGAGCGAGGTTAGAAAAGTTTACTCCAAAAAATGCGGTAATTATTCACCTTTTTTAATTTAATTAATTAATATCCTGTTATTAATTACAAAATAAATTATTTTAGGACTCATCAAGCAGTTCTTGCAGCACGTCCTCTTTTTCCGAGGACGAGACTGATGACAAACCGCTAAAGCCGATCAAAGATTATTTATACAATCGGAAAGAAATGTCACGGCAATTATTTATGTCAGTAAAGACTGAAAAAATAAAAATGATGTTACCGCAAACATTGAAGGTAAAAATAATGAAAATTAAAGTAGCAGATATTTGATAATTTTTTAATAAATAAATTACTCCAAAAAAAAATGACATGTAGAAATTTAAAAAAATTATTATTCAGAATAAATTTGTTTGTTAAATAAATTTAAAAATGATCAAGTGATTGCTACCTAACTTTAATGTCATGTAAAAATATAATTATTATGATGAAAATTAAGTTAGCCGACATCTAAAAATTTTTAGAATTTTTTTTTATTGAAAAAATTATTAAAAAAAAAAATTCATTTTTAAAAAACTATAAGTGCAATTTTTTAAAAATATTATTTAGTTCTAATTTAACAATTAAAAAAAAAATTAACAATGTCGGTTAACTTTAATATTATTTATTATGATAATTAAAATTAATTATTTAAAGTTAATTAATAAAAATAAATTTATTGATTGCAGAAAACAGATTTAAGTGAGCTAGAAGAATTGTGTGTGAATGAATTATGCGGAATGTCAAAGTCTAGAGTCCTGTCAATATTAAATGGCAAGCAGATGTTAGATTCTTCCAATACAAGTGAGTCAGATGATTCAGGACCTTCGTTAGAAATAATTTCCGACACTGAGGCTTGGATAACTGACAGTGAGCTGCCAGATGATAAGGACAAGGTCTCGGCGTCTAAAAGCCGTAAGGTAAAAACGAAAAAAATAAAAAAAGAGCCCACAGCTTCCGACAAACAAGCTAAGACAAATTCTCAAAATAAAAATAAGTCCGCCCGTAAGCAAACAGCAGATTTAGTTAAAGTTAAAAATGAAAAGGAGTCGAAAAGCCAGCCACAACAAGGTGAGAGTCTTCTTGATTTACTGGAATTGGAGATGCGGGCGCGGGCTATTAGGGCTTTAATAAGGAAGGAGGAAGATATAATTCCTAATGAATCAACAACTTCTAAAATATCTGTTAATGTTAATAGTTTACTAGATCAAGCCAATATTTCATTGGCCGTCGGTTTGGGAAATAATTCAACCAAGGAAGCGGATAAAAGCAGCGCTAGGAGCAAAGTTGAAGAAGCTGTTTCTCTCTCGTTGAATTCAAATGAAGACGAAGATGTGGTTTTAGTTGTCAAACCAACGCCGACGATAAATTTACTGTCTAGTGACAGCGAAGCTGAGGACTCTAACGTCAATATTAGTAAATCTAATGGCGAAAAAATAGAGACGAGTACTGAATGTTCTTTAACAGATAAAAATAATAAAGAAAATCAGGATAAATTGTCAGACTCTTTAAATATTAATAAAATTAATCAAGCTAATGATGTTAACAATAAATCTTCGGGTGGTACTAATAGCGAATCGAAGGACAAATCTCAAGACTCGGCAATAACTAAAGTGCCAAGTGATAAGTCAAGTGAGTTATATAAAGAAAAGTCAAAAAAAATTAATGAACCATCAAAAGTATTGGAAGAAAGTAGTAGTAACTCAATAATCTTGCACGACGAAGATGAAATAATAGATTTGGATAATTACTCAGATGATATGGACGAAATAGAAAATGATAAAATAATTGAATCGTCTGTCAAAAACAATCCGAGTAAAGTTGAGGTAAAATTTACTGTCGAAAGCAACTCGACTGAAAGTTCATCACTTGATTCGAGTGAAACTTGGGCAACTCGTTATTATCAGACAGATAATGTACAAAGCGTTATAAAGGAATCGAAAATTCAATCGGAAATAAGAAAACGTTTGCGCGAGAGACAAAAGCTGTCGAAACTTAATAATAATAGTAATAATAACGGGAACTCTGCTAGCAAAGAGTCTGTTATAAAATCTAACGCCGTTGAAAAACCTATTGAGCCGGATAATAGTAAACCGACAGGATCAGTTGAAGAATATTTAGCTCTCAAAAGAGTCTCCAGTCCAGACGTTAAATCCACAGTATGTGAACAAAATCCAACTG